AAGAGAAAATACTGGGGGAGGGAAAATTGAGATGCCCCTTGGAAGCCCTTGTGGTTCCCTCCCTTGTTATTTCATAGTTTTGTAAAGTTTTAATCATTATTTCTTACTGCTGTTTTTATATGCAGCTTGTTGCTGTTCTCCGTGAAGTCAAATACCTGAACTTCCAGCAACAGAAAGAAATTCCAGAAAGCGCTGGAGGTCTCTTTTCTCAGAATGAAACTTTCCGGAGATTTGTGGACAACTTAGATCTCATTGTTGGGTGGTACAATAAGGTATGTGTCAGTCAATGCTAACACCTGATGGGGAAAATAATGGTGACTGTATGTGATACAAAATCCATGTAAAGATTCTACTTGTTATAAAGCAAGAAGCTATGAGTCCTCTAACCAAGGTATTTGTACAGGTATGCCATTTTCTGTATGTGTTTGATCTAGCCAGGTTTTTCACTTAATGTCACCCAGTTCCCCTTCTTACATGGTGTGAAGAAATGCATGTTCTCCTTGGAAGCTGGCAAGGGGCAAAGACTCCATTTTGTGTTTTAGCAGTTTTCTTTCTTTCTCTGGGCAGAGAACAGGCTTACCTCAGCCCACCTCCATACAAATGCCAATAGATCTGGCAGGAGAGATAGTGGGTGGGTCAAATTCTCCCCCTTCTCCAAGTAGGGAACACAGAGTTGGAGGACTCTGGAATAGCTAGGCTCCAGGGATAATCTCCAGGAAAAGGCTCCAGGAAAGGCCTCTTTGACCTGGTCAGACCAGGTCAGGTGGGAAGAGAGATATGATAAAACCTCCTTGTAGGAGGAAGTGACTCTCTTTATTTGGGATGCTGCATTCATGAGAGGATAGAGACCTCTCCTCTGGCAGGGCAGCCATTGGACATGTGATCCCCTGAAGGTCTACAGAGAGCTTCAAGGTAATGGAGATGCTTTAGAGACTTGGAACTTCTTAAGCTAAAGGAGCCTGCCTTATTGTAACATCTTTTTTTTTAGCCCCCCAGAGGGGATTTTTTATTGCATTTTTTTAATAGACTACAAACTACAATGAAAAATTGGGAAGGGGTAACTACATCTAGAGAGAAAGGAAAGAAAACCAGAACTAACTAAAACCTCAAGTATAGGAGATCATAACAACAGTTTATATAAATGTTAATCTTAAATTAACATTACTTTGAACATAGTCGACTATGCTAATTTTTTTATCTTTTTATCCAATGTTTTATCCATTTAACAGAACCCCCAGAGCATCCCACAATAAAACTAAAGTTTAAAGGCACAATTCAGAGTCCTTCAGCCTTCATTTTATCTTATCTTTTCTAATCCTCAATTTATATGTACGCTTGGGGGCAGCTGCCCCCTTATTGGAAAGAGAGTCCTCGTCGCAAATGGCATGTCTTTTAGAATCCTGATGGTGTTGTCTTCGATTTTCAAGGGTGTTCCTGTAGTTGCTTTCAGGTTAGAATCCCTTACATGTCGCTTTGAGAATCTAACCACTATTTCCCTAGGCAGATTATTTTTTTTGATGTACACGGAATAGGACCTATAGACCACATCCATTTCGCTTGCAAGATACTCCACTTTCAAATCTGTAACTGGGGCTAATGCTTCACTCAGGAGTTGCTTTAGATTCTCACCTTTTAATTCTGGGACCCCTTGAAACCGTAGGACCAAATTTGCTTTTTCCATTTGCAGCTGTAAAAGTTGTGATTCTTCCAAGGCTTGTTTCTTTTCCAGCTTTTGCACCTTTTCCTTGACTTTTTTTGGCGTTGGCGTCCATTTCCTTCACTTTCTCAGCCGTTTGCTCCGTTATTTTTAAAGTCTCAGTCAGTTGGTGCTGCTGAGTTGCACGATTCTGGTTTAGATTCGTCAGCTGTTGTTCTATGTTAGTCATCTGGTCCAGCAGAGGGCACAAGGACTCTGCCAACATTTTGGAGAGCTCGGTGGTCTCTTCCGGTTGAGGGCTCAAGATTCCGTCTGGTTTCACTTTTACTGGTTTGTCTTTCTCTGCCCTTTTCCCCGCCATCTTTATGGATTGTTTACTTTTATGAAAACTTGCTAAAGTCTCTGAAATACACCCACACTCTTATCCGCATTCTGGTAAGTCTCTCAAACCAGATTTCAACGCTTTTTCTTCCGCTTCCCCCTTAGTATTTCGTTGTTTAGTTCATGCGTATGGGAGGGGCCCCTCCCCCACTCGCTTTTTTCACTGTTCCCAGGGGGTATCTTTCTTTTTTAAATTCTCATTTCGCTTTAACCCGACTCACAGTTCATTGTTGGTCATACAACCCCGCTTGGCATACGTTCAAAACGCTCGATCTCCAATGCTTGTCCCAGTCAGCGGCTCTAGATCCATATGGACACTCAGCGGCAGGACTGTCGGCGCGGAGGAGCGCCTCAATTCCCCAGCATCACGCTGGCGAAGAGGCCACCCCTTAAAAACCCCATGGCTTTTGCCAAGGCTCCGGGGGGGTAGCGACCCGTTGCCCCCCCCCATCCGCTGGTGCGCAGATCACATCCCCGGGAGGTCCGGGAGATGCGTCCACCAGCGTGTCGCCATAAACCGGAAACCGCCTTATTGTAACATCTGATAGGGCACGTATAGAGAGAGGGACAGAGGATTGTGTTTTTACCAATTTCTTTTGATTCACTTGCTCAAATCTGGTGCTGTTATAAAAGTGTAAACGTTTTCTTTTAAATAAATATTTTATAACTTTTGATGCTGGGAGTCATTCTCTGTACCACGTAGACCTCCACCGTCTTTGACACACTATTTTAAAAGGAGTGCCAGGGGGAGGGCTGGCAGTTGGCAAGCGGCTATTTCTGCAGTGATGCACAAAGCAGTAAACTGTCCCTGTGGTGACCATGTGCAGGGCAGCAGGAGACATAGAGGCAAGGCCTCAGATCTGGGAAGGGAAGCTGGGAGTCCTGATCCTCCCAGTGGGAAATCCCTAAAACGATCAGGTGGTGGTGGCAAGCTACCCTAGAGAGAAGGAAGAGCCCCTCCGGAGAATTGGGAACCCCTAGGAGGACAGGGCAGAGTAGGCATGTTCTGCCACATATGGCTTTTACGCAAGCCTTCATACTTCATGTCTTTTGTACAAGCAAGTTCCATGATCCCTAGCATTGCTTTTTCTGGGTTTTTCACTAGTAGAAAAACTTATTGGATCCAACCCTTTGCCAGTGTTGACATTTTTTAGCCTTGCCTAAATCATCCTGGGAATCACCCTTTCAAGTTTCCTTTGAGGGCTAGCAATTGAATCCTGAATCAGTTGTGCCCTCAATCTCATTTTAGTACAAATCCACTGAGTCCAGAAAAAGAAGAAAGTGTCTAGACCTGAGAGAAAGGTCAGGTAGAGTTGAGAGATGTTGCAGTTCAGATTTGCCCCCAATGCCACTAAACTAACAATACGTCCTAAGATAAGCTGTTTGTTTTTAGATTAAGCGAACAATTTTGAATGTAGAACTTCCACTGATCAAAGATGAGCTAGAAGAAATTGATATTGGACTGCAAAAAGCAGAGACGAACCTGTTCTGGAGTACTGAAGGTACAACAACCTGTTTGTAGTTCACTCAGTGGTCAAATTAAGTACTCATTTTTTAAAAATCTGCCTTCACATTGAATAACCCACTGTACTTCTTAGCTTTAGATATAAAAATCACCTGTCCAGTATGTTTAGTGCCCAAACAATACATTGTGGAGATATGTGCTTAGGTGTCAAGCTCGTGCCTCGCTTGTCATGGCTTGTTTTCCATGTTCTGTTACATCAAGGGTTAACTTCTTTCCTCCTCTCTGATTTTCTCCACGGTTTTCATTTATGTGCATTCTTTGGGAGTGAGTGCATGTTGGAATCTTTGCTTCACAGGCCTAGAGCTTGTAGCGGTCGGCATGACCTTGCAGCATAGATAATATAATGGTTAGTTTGCAGGTGTTGGGGGTGGCCGCAGAGTTGAGCTTGAAGCTTTGGTGGGCTGTATGGGAATGGATGATTGGGCACTTGGAGAACCAGGGGTGGTCCCACACTCTGTATAGGTTTGGCCCTAGCCTTTGGCAAACAGTTCCAAAACAAACTCTGTATATGCTTGGATGACCTGTAACCCTCAATAAACAAATCTTGCTACCTCAAGAGTGTTGTGAGAGTATTTGGACCCAAGATCTGACATTAGGCTACCAATGAATGGTTTAGATCCTAAACACTGCAAGTTGAGCTGCGCTCATAGAATATGCAGAATGTCACTTAGAATGTTGGTGCCAACTTCTGGAGATCCTGTAAGGAGACTGGATAGTGGGGGCCAGGGAACCTATGGAGTCTGAAACTTATTATCTCTATCCCTGTCATCACCTGACCAGGTGTTATGGAGTACATTCAAGAGATGCGAAACATCTTATATGATTTGGAGACAAGAATTCAGAAAACAAAATTAAATGTGGAGAATATTGAGCAGCTTATGCAGGTGAGTAATGCATAAGAAATTATTTTCAGGTATTTAAAAGGGGGAGTGTCCTCAAGAGATTTTCAGTTTTGCTCCTCTATGGGTAAGTTATTTTTCTAAGAGGTAGAAGATCTGCCATAAATCTGGTACTCCTTACAGGAATGGTCGTCCAGTCCTTTGTTTGAAAGAAAAGACAATAAGGATACAGCTCTCCTTGATCTGGATGGAAAAGCTAACACCATAAACAAACGCTATGCAGCAATCAGAGACGCTGGGCAGAAGATCCAAGCAATGGTTGAGGTAGGAGAATGATAGAACAGGCTGTAAACATACATTGGGAGGAAGAGAAAGTGCAAAAGGCACTTGGCTCCTGCCACAGGAACATTGATGTTTTTGAGAAGATTGAACATCGAGAGCACTTAATAATGTTTGGTAAATTGTTGATATGATTTTAAATGGTTTTAAATGTGTTTTATGCGAGGCTTATGCCTGATTGTGAGCCGCCCTGAGCCCGCGTTGCGGGGTGGACGAGCTATAAACCGAATTTATAAATATAAATAAAATAAATAAATAAAGATTGCACAGCAAATGCACTCCCTGGGGCACAAACAATCAGCAATGGAGTGCTCAATGAAAACAAAAGCCATGAGGTTGGAGTGCAAATGGGTAGCTGCTCATACCAGCCATTCTGAGAATGCTCTCGCAACAAGTACATTCCCAACCACACCCCAACCTAGGAACTATTTACAGAATAAGGAAATAAATACCCAAATTCCCCAAACCTAACAACAAATTCAAAACACCAACAATCAAATACCCCCCACCCTACCCCCGTTAAATGTCAGGGTGATGCTCCACTGTGGCCCGCAGTTCTGCCAGCTCATTTGTGATGCCTGACACCTTTCTCTCTATCTGTCTCTACCTCCTCTCTGTAGTGCTCAGGCAAACATTCACACTTTGTACTGAGGAATATTTATTACTTTATTACAAGGCGGGCTCAGGGCGGCTTCCACAAAACTGATGAACAATATACATTTTACAAATGATAAAATGCAATAAATCATTTAAAACACAGACAAATCAGTTTGAAACATAACTTCGATGGCGATAGAAATAAAGTGCAGTTTAAGGACACATTCAGCGGTGCCACCATGCTAGGTCATGCTGGGACTGAGTTCACACAGGGCGCTGCTGGTAAGACGCCACTCCTAATGGAACACCTGCCTAAAAAGCTCTGTTTTCACGGCCCTGGGGAACTGTGAAAGGTTCCGCAGGGCCCTGATCTCTGCAGGAAGCTCGTTCCAATAGGACAGAGCTACGAACGAGAAAGCCCTGGATCTTCGACATGGTCTCTGTGCTTCACACCCATGGGATTCAATGCACCTGCGCTGGATCGATTGGTATTGTAGCAAGCTCTAACGGATTTTAGCGCCCAGACCTCAGGAATGCACAGGAACCCCTACCACGCATGCGCAGAGGGGTGGGCACGGACATCCTGCCAGTTCCTTCCTTTCTGCCGCGCTGGAAACATCCTTACTTGGTCGGTGAGATTGGTAGCTAATTTTCCTCAGACGACTCTTCGGATTTTATTCAGTCAACCCTCTTTTTCCATCATCTTCTTTGTTTTTTGTTCTTATATCTAAAAAAAAAATCTTTTTAGAGGGGGAAGTCTTTTTTTACCTCAGTTTGGCCTTCGGCCTCTTCCCCCCCACCTCATTTTCTTCTTTCCCCCCCTTTTTTTCTTCTCCGTTTTGTTTATTTTATGGGGGAAAGTGGGGCTTTTTCAAATGTTGTACTGGGTGTGGCAGTAAGCTCGCTCCGCCTGACGGCCACATCCTTTGTATTTTTTGCCTCGGTGAGATGCACCGCCCAGATTCCCTACCTGGGAGGACATGGGCAGCTCCGGTGTCAAAGTCCTTGTCCAACATCGTCCAGTTGACATCGAAGCGTCCAGCACCGACAACGCAGTCTTTGGCATCCACTCCTGTAAAAAAGAAGAAGGAGAAATCGAGTAAGGACCACAAGTCCGCCAAGAAGGATTCCTCTAAGCCCCTGAAGCCGGCAAAGTCTGGAAAAATCATGGGTTCTGCACCTGGTATTGCCCCTAAGGTGCTCCCTGTTCCTACGACAGTATTGGCAGTATTGGCTCGATCTCCAGAGCTTGCCCCGGTCAGCGTCACTTGTTCCAATCGGACACTCAGCAGAAGGACCATTGGGATGGAGAAGCGCCTCGATTCTCCAGCATTATGCTGGTGAAGAGGCGACCTCTCAGAAATCCCCTGGCTAGGAGCCTTTCACCAGGCTCCGGGGGGAGTAGCGATGCCTCCCCCCCTTTCTGCTGGTGTGCAGCTTTCACCCCCTGGGAGGTCTGGGAGGTGAGTCTGCTCGGCGCGCCGCCATAAACCGGAAGTCCATTGACAAGGGCTCCTGACTGTCTGTGCTGGTGTTAAAGACGTATGGTCAAGAGCTGGGAGGTGGCACCCCAAACCTGAGTCTCTCCCACCCAGCCAGAGAACCTCCATCTTTAACTAATTTGGTTTCAGCTGACTCTGCTTCAGCCAACTCATCACAGCCTTCAAACCCTCAGCCAGGTTTCCTGGGGTGGCGTCCAGCTGGCAGATATTGCTAGGTGTCATCAGCGTACTGGTGACAGCCCAGCCCAAAACTCTGTGCCAGCTGGGTGAGGGGGCACAAATAGAAGTTGAATAACATCGGGGAGACGATACCCCCCTGAGGGACCCCGCATGTTACAGGGTATTGAGAGGACACTCTCACCCAGCACCACCCTCTGTCCCCAACCACGGAGAAATGAGGCAACCCACTGCAGGGCTGTCTCATGTACTCCCATGTCAGCGAGATGGTGAACCAGCACATCGTGATCCTCTGTGTCGAATACTGCTGTCAGGTCAAGCAATAACAGCAGCGCTGACCTGTCTCAATCCAGCTGCTTACAGAGATCATCCATAAGGGTGACGAGCACAGTCTCCATACCGTGACCAGGGCAGAAGCAACTGAATGTTCTGGAAGGTTAAAATGTTCCCCCACTAGTTTTTGAATGTTGTGGTTTCTAATAGCTGTAAGAAAGAGTGTGGTAAGGTATGTGCTTTTGTAAGTCACTGCTCATGTCTTCAGACTTATTTCCATTTATTCTTTGCATTCCCCTGGACTGAATCCTCCTGGACTAAATTGAGGCCTAGGTTTCCTGTCTCATTACCAGTGCTGATATCTCCACGCCTACTATCCCTCTGCATATTACACCTAATCCAATCACTCCTGCTATTGCCATTCAGCATCTGAAAACATCTTTATAAAGTTTATATCTCTCGTACCTTATGTTACATTTTATGGCACACATGGCCTGGCTCGACAAAGTGACATTTATGTCAGATCCAGTTCAATACCTCTGCTGTGGATAGACCCCTGAACTCAGGGAGAGGTTGATAATGTCCATCAGAGGGCCAGTATGCCCTCGCCACTGGCTCGTACCAGCCACAATGGACATGGGTCCAAGAGGCAAGTGGTTGGCTTCGCAGACCTCAGGATCCTGTCCATATTGGCCTCAGAGAGCTGGCTGAAGTTGTCAAACAATGAATCCAAAGGTGGCCATACTGTATCAAAGTTGGCAGGCAGGTCACAGCGGAGCAAAAAGACTTTCTCTGCAAAAAAGCTCGCAAATGCCTCACAGCTGATATCCAAATTACTAAACTTTTTGGTTCTCTTTGTGAGAGAGGATAATGTCCTAATTACCCTAAACAATTGTGCTGGGCGACAGCTAGCAGATGCAATGGAGGCTGCATAGAATTCTCTCTTAGCAACCTTCACCACCATCTCATAGGATTTCATAAATGTCCTATAAGATGCTCTTGAAACTTCGTTGCGAGACCGTCGCCTTACTCGCTCTAGTCATCTTAGTACCTGATTACAACATGGGAGAGTCCCAGTGCTGCCATGGAAGACAACAGGTCCATTGCCTGTGAGGAGGCGGCAGCATGAATGCTGAAGTCCCCGAGAACTATCATTAAGGGGAACTCCAAGGCCCAGCTTGCTACAGCAGGTGGGGCAGGCTCTCTGCTGGTGCCTTAGGCAAATTGTACAGCAGACAGATTACCCATCTCTCCTCAGTGCCCCAGATGAGACCAACACATACAATGCCAGAAATCTTTGGGACGGGGAGTGTCTTGAAGGAGAAAGCCTCTTGAATGAGCAGCACCACCCCACCCTCCAACCCTTTGTCCAGGACTGGTGAAGGACTGAGAAACCTGGGGGACCAAGTTGCTTTCAGTGTGATTGTGGTGTCCTCTTATTTGGAAGGACTGGTTTTCACTTTATGTATGTTCTTTGCTTTTGTAAACTGGGTATTTTCTGCTGCTACCAGGAATTTAAGGAATTCCAAACCTTCTCTCCTTTGCTGCTGGTAATGTGACCCAGAGTCTGGGCTTTTCAGGGATCTACCGTATGTGGTCCTGAGGAAAGATAGAGCTGAATTCTGGGATAAACTTGAACAAAAGATGATTTATTGAAATAAGAACAAAATATGAGGTTGGTTATTCTGTAACTGTTTGGGAATAAGGGACTTGTAAATATGTCTGTCAAATGTATCACACACACTGTCCTTTTGACATTAAGATCCCACTCTGACAGGAATCTCTCACATAGGCAGCCATACAAGCTAAGCTCTTGGTAATTTTAACTTCATTCCAGATCTTTAGAGTCTCACTTTTGAAGACATATATACTGCACTCTTTAAGATCCCACACAGAACTATCAGAACACTCACTGAACTCACTAACTGAACAATTCCAACTGATCTATCTAACTGACTTTTCTATAACTGACTAACTGGCACCCACACAGATCCACACAGAACAACTCCTCCCACACTCTGTCATCCTCCAATCACACCCCACTTGTCTCTCTCAATCACTCTACTTTGCATTCACTGCACTGCAACCAAACATTTAAAGACACACACACACACACACTAAAACAAGGAATCATTACAGTGACTGTTTTGCCCTCCTTGGCCCAGGTCTCAGTCATACACAACAGGCCCATTGCTTGTTCTGCAAAATAACTCTGCAGGGTTGTGATCTTATTGTTAATGGACCTGGCATTGCACAATACCAGTGTCAGAGGAAGGTGTACTGTATTCTTGGTGCTTGGGGGGGGGCAACAGTGGGAGGGCTTCTAGTGTCCTGGCCCAACTGCTGGACCTCCTGATGGCACCTGGTATTTTTGGCCACTGTGTGACAGACTGTTGGACTAGATGGGCCATTGGCCTGATCCAACATTGGCTTCTCTTATGTAAAGTCCTAGCCCCCTCACCATCGTGCCTTGGGATGGGGCAAAGGTTGGAAGGAGACCAACATTGCCAACGATGCACTGATCCCTTCTGGCAAGACTGGAAGTGACATCAGGGCATCCCAGTGACACTCAGCATTTGACCAAAACTCTGTGACCAAAACTGATGCTGGTTCACATCAGAAAATCAATTGAATGAGTGGGAAATGTTTTCTTAAGTCATATTCACTTGAATGAAGTAACCCCTCTGACACACACAAACATTTCCATAGTATCTCTCAGTAAGTCAAAAAGTATTTCCATACACAGTTCTGTATTAGTAGAGCCATAATCATGACCATGGTCCTGGCAGGAAACTATAAGAAACATCTTATTATAAAAGTACCCTACCTTTGATTTCTTGACAACACTAAGTGTAGCTCCTCTGCAGTGAATTTCAGTCAGAAATGTAGTCTGATGGTGGTCTTGATGTTAATGGCATATTTGGGAGTTACCCAAACATTTTCTGAGTTGACGTTCAGCTTTTAGGACCATTAAAGCATTTAGCATCAATAGAAGGAAACTGCCTAACTCTGATGTAATGATTTTTCTGTCCACAGGAAAATGCAGAGTTGTTCAAGGCTGACAAGACATCAGGAATATGGAAGAATTATGTAGAATATATAGATGAAAGAATCTTAGATGGATATTTTAAGTTTATCCGCAAATCACTGCAGTTTCTGCTCAGCAACATGTCCGCTGATGTATGTAGATGAGGCCTCTGAGTTGTTTTGTTTCTGAAAGACAGGTATTAGTGGGTGTAGTGCACCCACAAAAGCAGTCACTGTCTCCTGTTGACTTCATTCCAAACCTTTAGTAAAACCAAATTCTGCAAAAAGAAACCTTAAATTTTGTCATTAGAAAAAAAATAAGCAAGCTCTGTAAATGTGGACATATTTTCAGGAGTCCAACTTGTTCTAATTTTTCAAAGAAAAAATGTTAATAGAAAGTGTAGGTCCAATCTGCATTGGTATTTCTCACCATTGTGCCAACGATCTCACATTGTCTCACAAATTTCTGTCTACGTTTCATGCCGCATCCACTTTCCTATTCTTTCATCTCAGCATCGGGCTGTCTGCATCATTTTACTGCTATTTAATAGTGACTCCAAGGTCACTACAGGGTCTCACTGCCTTATCTGAATGTGGTTTTAAAGTGGTACAACTGCCCCTTCCCCACCATCGAGCCGCTGTGAGCAAAAAGCAGACAACTGAAGCTGAATTCCCCCCCCCCCCGAACTTTTCTAAGGAGATTTGCAGATTGTCACAAAGGAAAAGGTTAGCTGAAAATCCAGTCATTTGCGTTCAAAAGCAGCCAGGGAACATTTTTCTACAATCATATTTGGGGTGTGTGTGTGGAAGCACGCCCACCCCTGAACCATTTGTTATTTCCTGGGGCAGTCTCCAGAATGCCCTGCCAGGCAACTGCTGGGTGTTTTGTGTTTTTTACCCAGCTCATTCCATGTTTTCTGCCCCCCTCTGCCCCCCTGCCAGGTTACCCCCTTTAATTTTCTCTGTGTGTGGGGGTCCCAGGTGCTGTCTCCTCCCTGCAGCACAGCACAGTGCCTTGCCGGTGCCTGGGAGGCCGCTCCCCCCCCCCTCACGCTCTCCCTAAACAACTTGCGTCCTGATGTAGACAGAGAAGAGCTTTATACTGAGCCAAATGGGAAGCCAGTGCCACAGCAGCATGGAACAGCTTCACATAGCAAATGCAGATTGGGCTGTAGTGATCTAGGATATAGGCAGAAAAGGTTGTGCAGAATATAAGTAATGCACACCCAGAATTCACCCAAAACCATTCTGGTTTCTGGGTGCACCCTTGTTGTATTTTTAAACATGTTAAGGCTACTGACTGCATGAATATGCCCTCAGTCAAAACAGTGTCTATTTTGTGGAATAAAGGTCAGAAGCTGTGGCTATAATTACACTATTTTGAAGGCAAAGAATTAATGGAGTGGAAATAAAAAATACTTGCAAGATCTGGTGGAAAACAGACCTTAATAATAACAAATGCACTTGTATATTGCAGGTACATATAGCTCCTTTATTTGAAGTTCACATGGAGTTGTATAAAGATGATTTAAGGTACCGTCCATCTCTAGAAGTAGGAGCAGATCAAGGGTTTTTGGAAGTGGTGGAAAACTTGATGAATGATATCTATGATACAGCTACACTTATTCCACGCCTGGCAAAAGGGAAACTCAGCTACAGGGTTAGTCCTAGTTTACCAGATTTTTTTAAAATTAAAAAAGGGCAGAGCACTGAATGTGACGTCTTGGTTCTCTCACATTTCCATATGAATGAAAATTATGATGATACCCAGAAAGAATGCTTAACACATACTTTATGAAGAATATTAAGCACTGAAATATGGCCTTTTAAGGGTCATTCTTCAGTTTATAATATTTCTTCACAAGAAAGTTACTTCGGTAACATTTGTGTCAGCATGCCTGCCCTAGCAATACTGAGCAGTCCCAGGTTCTTTCCATGGCCCGGGGATCAGCACTGTTGGTCCGAGCATTTAAAAAAACCAAAAAACTGTTGGCATTCTGGCAAACAAAAAAGGGTGGGATGAGGGTTGTAATACTTGTCCAAACACTCTAATAAAAATCCAAGTCCTAATGGTAGCTTCATGGGTCTAGGAGGCAATGTCAGGAGTAAGCCATGTCACTTGCATTTTCCCATACTGGGTGGTCCCAATGGTGCTGCTAACACCTCAAATGCTCCCCTTGGTTGCTTGGTCAAAGAAACAATTCTTCATGACAAACAAAATGGTTAGCAGTGCACATATACTAGGGGGTAATCTACCCTTAGGGGCCGCAGTGGCTCAGAGGATAAGACACTGAGCTGCAAACTGGAAGGTCTATAGTTTGGCAGTTTGAGACCCTAGTGCCCTTTGACGGAGTGAGCTCCCGTCTCTGGCCCCAGTTCCTGCCAACCTAGCAGTTCAAAAGCAAGAAATTGGAAGTAGATAAATAGGTACCACTTCGGTGGGACGGTAACAGCGTTCCGTGCGCCTCAGTGTTTAGTCATGCTGGCCCCATGACCATGGAATCATGTTCGGACAGCACTGGTTCTTTGGCTTGGAAACAGAGATGAGCACCGCCCCCTAGAGTTGGATTCGACTAGCTTTCGAGCAAGGGAAACCTTTACCTTTAATCTACCCTTGCCTACCTGATTTCCAGGTAGACGTGAGTAGTAATGGGCATTACTTTCAATCCACTTTCAGTGCACTTTCCAAATGAATTTTGCAAGTTCACACAGTAAAATTCCAGTTGGAAAGTGCACTGAAAGTGGATTGAAAGTGGATTATTTAGCCTCAGTGTATAAAATGGAGTCATCTTTATAGCATGTTCCTACTTCTCACACAGTTGACAACAAGAAAGACTTTTTGCCCCCAGACCCTGGATAGAATCTGGGGTAGGACTCAGGGATCCATCAGGAGAAGGCTGAAGATCTCCCCTCCCCCTGCCTTCCCCTAGCACTCCATCAAACTCTGGGAAAGTTGATTTCTGGGGTCACAGCACCTGCTTGGAGCAATAGTTGAGTGAGGGGGGAGGGTATACTGAGGAGGGGGAAAGGAGTAAAATAATCTCTTCTCCTGTCAGCAGAACTGCACTGACAGAAAAGGAAGGAAAGATTTCCAAATGGAAATCTTTGCTTCATCTTTGCTTCATCCCACCAACCCATGTAGCTATTATACCATGCAGGTCCTGCAACCCCAGGAATCAACTTCCATGGGGTCAGAAGAGACTGCTAGGAGGAGGAGAAACCAGGGAGGATCCACAGGCCTTGAGAAAGCGGATCACTGGATCCAATCCATGGGTTTCTCCACAGATATTGCTTACATTTTTCAAGTTGAGGTATGGGCTCCAGTTCTGAGTATTGGAAAGCTATGAAGTAAACATTCAAAGGCACAGGATTCTAAGCAAGGCATCAGATTTTGTACTAGAAAGCACAACTCCTTTGTGGCATGTAATTTTGGCTGTACAGAATTTCAGATCTCCAGCAGGCGACACAAGGCAGTTAATGTTTCTGTTAACTTCTGTGTGCAGGTAATACCTTGATCCTGCCATTGCTACATTGTTTGATGTCCAGTGATATTGCTTTTGTTGTTTAGTTACTTCTCCAATGCTGACAAGATGCATTATTTGCAGACTGACCTAGAGGACATGGGAGAGTTGCTAGAAATGCGAGAGGAAGTGATAACCATTGTGGTCAATGCCATGAAGCAAGGTGAAGAATATGAAGATTCCTTTGAGAAATATGCATACCTGTGGATGGATGATCCACATGAATTCATGCAACGCTTCCTCACCTTTGGCCATGCACTGACAACTGAAGAGCTGGAGTCTCATGCAGAGGAATACTTGCCTCATGTTGCACCCACACTAGATCAGTTTCAACTACAGGTGAGAGTTGGAGAATGCATGTGTGTGAATCGGGAGGTGTATTCCAAATGTTGGCAAATTCTGTGCCATTTCTTAAAGGCCCTGTTTTCAAGATGGTTGTACCTTGCTCTGCAAGCTTCAGGAATCCACCTTTTACCACCTACCCCAGATCTCTGGCCTCAGAATGGCCACATTCTCCCACTTTCCTGGTGCGCCACATTGCAACCTCCTCCCTACTTTCATGACCTCCCCCCCCCCCATTTCTAAAATCCAGTTCCCATCTTTCCTTATCAGTGCCCTAAATCCCATCCTTAGGACAACTTCAATAGACTTTTAATTAAATAATTTTGTTAAACTGACACTGGGAGGAATTTACATATGATTTCTCCTCAGCCTTGTATCATGCATTAACAATGTTCACACAGCCGAAAACTTCAGAGGACTTCCGGTATGGCGCAACGACGGGCGGGCGTTTGATGCGCTCCGAGCTGCCCGACTCACTATTGCTTTTTTTGAGCCTCCCAGGTGCTGGGAGAGCTCGACCGGCACTCTTCGACAGAGTGCAGGAGCAGGGGGCTTTCTTCTGGCCCTTCCCGTAACCTGGCAAGTGCAGGGGGGTGACCAGTTTCTGCCCCGAAGCAGGAGCGATAGCTGGGAAGAACATGGCTGCCATGTTCGAACTAGACGCAGCCTCCAGTTTTTAAACCTTTTTTCCCCGTTGTTGTTGTTTGGTGGATTCGATGCTTCACATTGGAACTCTGGGTTTGTGCATATATTGGTCGAGTAGAAAGGACTACATACCCTTGGTGGATTTTTTCCTGTGCATGAAGAAAGTGGTCGTGGAATTTGTTTTGGGAATTAAATATTAGGAGACTTGAGAGGGGTAAGACAATCATTATCCTTTAAAAACTATCATTGAAATATATCTGAATCTGATTAATTGGAAAGCCTTGTGTGTTTTGAAGTGAAGAAATGGAGGTGCTAGACGGTAAATAAGAGATAGATGGGGATGTAAAACTCTGTGATCTTACGTGGGAGCAATGGGAACCGTTTCAAAAGCATTTGGTGGAAGAAATGAAACAGACATTTAGAGTAACATGTGAAAAGCTGCTGAGAAATTCCCACAGTGAACTGTTGGAGCTTAAGGAAGATAAGGAAAAAATACAGGGAAACCAAAGGAAAGATGAGTTGCAGGAAACAGAACAGGAGGGAGAGCTATTCGTCATGCAGACTTTATTTACAGAAGAAATGTTACAGGAGCCAGATATCGCTAAAGGATTTGTGGAGGGACAAGGAAAATTGAAAACAAGAGTAAGAAAAAAATGTCTGTTAAGTTTACTTAAGAGAAAAGGGAAGAGACAAACAAGAAGAAAAAAAGTAAAGAAGGGAGTAAAGAAATATAAAGCTCTCAACAAATTTAAGACTAGGAATTATGGAGAGGACAACCTGGAAATAAAGATGCAGGAGTATAAAGACCGGCGACACGTAGAAGAGAACGGAAAAAATCAAGAAAAAAAAAGAATTGAAATATAGTAGTGTGGCAAGAATTGTGTCTGTAAAATTAAAAGGCTTGATTTTATTTTCTCTCTTCTTTTCGTGTGGAGATTGGAAACCCTATAGGATGGCTGAATTAATTGGTGGGGTAAGATAGGAAATTGGTTTCATGTGGGACTTGGTAAGAACAAACGTTGGTACTGGTAATTTTCTGTGGATAATTTCATCATAAATTAATTGGAAATAAGCTTTATGGAGGGCAATGGTAGTAACTATTTGTAATACTGTGAGTAAATTACACTGCTGAGGGAATGTCTAAAAGAAGGTTGTATTGTAATAAGGAGTGGGGTGTGATGGAAAATTTGTTAGATGTGGGCTTTAGTAAGAATAATATTTTGAGAGTATTAGGTTTGTTTTATCGTAAGATAATTTACTTTTGTGATAGTACCCTACATTATTGTAAACTCAAGTTAGAATGAAATTCACTGTGGGTAAGAGTGGTAGTACTAACAATAAAATGATCAAACTGTTTATTATTTATTAATTGAATGTATAAATTAGCTTTGAAGGTATCTGCCCTAGGAAATCAGTACAGAGCCCTATGATTAAAGTAAATATGGTGCTGAAAGTAAGAGGTGAACAGTTAAGCCAAGGGTATGGCTTAATAATTAAAATGAGTTTATTAAAAGTCATTGGATTTGGTAAGAATAATATTTGGTATGAATAAATTTGGGTTTGATAAATCTTAACATAAAATAAGTGGATGAGAATGGTAGAAATATTTTTAAGATTAGGATTAAATATTTTGAGAGTAATATGTTTTGTTTTATTATTATATAATTTATTCTTGTGACGGTACTCTACATTATTGTAAATTTAAATTAGAATGAAATTTATTGTGGGTAAGAGTGGTATTACTACCAACAGATTAATCAAATTGTTTATTACTTATCAGTTTACTGTATAAATTATTTTTGGAATGGTATTTGCCCTAGGGAATCTTTAAAGAGCCCCATGATTAGATTAAATATGATGGTGAAAATAAGAGGTGAACAGCCCATCTGAGGGTGTATCTCAGTAACTAAAATGAATTTAATAAAAGTTATTTTGATTTATAGATGGGAATAGTCTAGCTGAGTGGATTTAATAAAAGGTATCTTGATATATAAATATATACATTACATTACATTACATTTCCAATTTCTATACCGCCCATGACCCCCCTAATGGGTCTCAGAGTGGTTTACATTATACTACTTGCATAGTTTGTACCCTAACTAGGGCCACAGATTCACGGGGAGGGGATTACCTAGCAGCACCCATGCGGCGTATTTTCCTCCTCATACGGCTGGCTTTCGGGCATTGTTCCTGGCGTCCAGGTGTCTGGCGACCAACTCTAGGCAGGCTCTGATGGCTTCCTTCTCTGGCGCGCACTGCTTCGGACTGCAGCTTCCGGCTTTCACGTCTATCCTTGCTACTGACACCGGGGTCGCCTTCCGGATCCTCTGACTCAGATTCTGGTGCCGAGGACTCGGATGGGCCCAGTTCGCACATTTCTTAGGGCTGTCGATAGTCCAACCCCAACCATCGGATGCTGTCTTCGATGTTGTGCAACTCGACACCTCCACAGCAGTCGCCCTCCCCATGTTGACAGTTCTTCTCCAGGCAGCAAAGGCTCCATTGGATAAACCATCCTCTATCCTTCTGTCTTCCAGGAGGCTGGATCATATGTATAAGGTCCAGGAGATGGAGGCTGAATGTCTACATGTCCATCCTAAACCCAATTCCATGGTTGTATCTGTCGCGGTCCGTGCGGAATGCTGGCTGGCACGTTAGTGCCCCAAGGGAGATAGAGTACCCACAGACGACTGGAGTCAGGAACTTAGGTGCAACCACTGTGAGTTTATTCTCACCCAGCCACCACCTATATACAGTTCTGAGTGTCAGAGTGCTCCGCTGCAAATGATACATGAGAAGGAAAAAGTTCTCTGTACACTCTGTACATATATACAACTGCTGGCCAATCAGCACATAGCTGATGCAACCTCCTGCAATACACTTAGTGCCGGGCTGCACTGCCTCAAACCAGTTCTGGCCAGCCTCCTAGCAGTCACATGCTGTCTTTAGCTGTCACTTCACTGACACTCTAGATCAAACTCATCTAGGCCAGCCTTACCATTAGAAGTGAATCACGACAGTATCCTCTTCCGCTAAGAGTAAACGTACCCTTGCTACACCTTTTGATAAGGAGGGGGGAAAGTTGGATTCATTCGGCTGATGTTTTTATTCAGCTGGAGCTCTAGGAATTAAAATGTCAAATTATATTGCTTGCATGGGCTGTTATGAGTACTTGCTCTGGGAGCGCTTTACCGATCTCTTCCAGTGTTCCCTCTAAGCTGAGTTAGTGTGAGCTAGCTCACAGTTTTTTAGCCTCCAGCTCACACATTTTTGTCTCAGCTCAGGAAGGATGGCTCCAGAGCCAATTAATTTATGCAGTAGCGAAATCACTCGCTCACAACTTTAATGCCAGTAGCTCACAAAGTAGAATTTTTGCTCACAAGACTCCAAAGCTTAGAGGGAACATTGCTCTTGACCTCAGTACTCGATGACAAACGTCAAGAGGCCAGGAAGCTGCAGAACGAAGGGTTGTTACTTTCTAAGCAGATCATCAATTCTTCCAAACATGCCTTGAACACGTTTTCCAAGACGATGTCTTCCGCAATCGCCCTCCGTAGGCACTCCTGGCTTTGAACCACCTCACTTCCTGCCGACACTAGGGCATACATAGAGGACTTACCTTTTGATGGACAAGGTCTCTTTCATGCATCTACAGATTCAGCCCTACAAGACATAGACAGGAGCATTAAAGCGTCTCGGTCGTTGGAGGTCTCTGCCCCTTCTAAGCCTTTCAGACCCTGCTCTTGGTCACGTTACAACTGTAGGTGCCAGTACACTAAACTGTCACCAGAGGGAGGCTATAGGCCACGTCAGTCCCCTTCTGGGAATAGACAGCAATATCAATCTAGACAACGGTATGGCTCTGGACAGCAACATGTCAGACTGAAACCACCCAAACCTGGCAAACAGGGCCTTTGACTTCTGCCTGTCTACCTCTTCCAATCCTACCCACCCCCATCCCTATCTACATGCCTGGACCGCCATTACATCGGACCAATGGGTCCTTTCCATCTTGACCAGTGGCTATTCCATCAAATTTCTGGAACTCCCACCTCTCCCTGTAGTCGTCACCATGCCCTCATCATCATTCCTCCTCAAAGAAGTCACCACACTTCTATCGAAGGGTGCCATAGAACCTGTGCTTCTAGGCCACCAGGGCCACAGTTTTTATTCCCGGTACTTCATGGTACCCAAAAGGGACGGCGGGCAGAGGCCGATCTTAGATCTTCGCAGCCTCAACACCTATATACAATACCGGAAATTCAAGATGACATCTCTACCGGTCATTCTACCTCTCCTGTCCAAGGGTTGCTGGATGGCTACTCTTGACCTCAAGGATGCCTATTTCCATTTGACCATGCACCCCTCCCATCAAAAATATCTCCAATTTGCAATAGGAGGCAGCCACTACCAATACAGGAGTTTGCCACTTGGCCTCAGCACAGCACTGTGGGTCTTCATCAAGACGATGGTGGTCGTTGTGGCACATCTCCGCTTCTGTGGCCTGACGGTGTTCCCGTATCTGGACGACTGGCTTCTGGTCGCGCCTTCCAGGGCCCTTCTCATACAGCATATATCCCAGGCCCTCAATGTCCTTCGTTGCCTCGGTCTCTGGGTCAACCACAAAAAGTCGCAGCTGGTTCCGTCTCAGAGAGTGCAGTTGATAGGGGCAATACTCGACTCCATGGAAGGCAAAGCTTTCCTGCCCCGGGACAGAGCCTTCACTCTAGCCGCCCTTGCAGAACAGGTTCAGCTACATGACATGTTGTCTGCTTTCCACATTCAGTACCTTCTGGGCATCATGGTAGCTACGACTGCAGTCCTTCGCTTCGCAAGACTGCGAATGCGCCCACTTCAGCTCTGGTTCCTAAGGCACTTCAGTCGGTTTGTCTCTCTCCATCACAGGAAGCACGCGACTCCCTTCTCTGGTGGACACTGACAGACAACTTGATACAAGGTGTCCCTTTCCATCCCCTCATTCCTGGTCTCACTTTCACGACCGACGCATCACTGTGGGGAAGGGGAGCCCACCTCAACGGCCTCTCCGTAAGTCACAGGTGGGATGCCTTGACTTCTACAAATCACATCAATTTTTTGGGAACTTCTGGCAATCAAGCTAGCCCTCTAATATTTTCAGCCCCTTCTCATGGGGAAATGCGTGTCTGTGTTGACCGAAAATACAACGGCCCTCTCTTACGTCAACAGACAGGGTGGAACAGTCTCCCACCGTCTATGCCGCCTGGCTCTGGACCTTTGGGCCTGGTGCATACCTCTGCACATATTTCCCATTGCCTCACACATCGCGGGCAATATCAATGTGCATGCAGACCTACTCAGCAGGGGTCTCTCTCAGCGTCATGACTGGGAGCTGAACTGGACTTACCTACGTCTCATATTCCGAAGCTGGGGTACGCCTCACATCGACATGTTCACCACCCAGTACAATGCAAAGTGCAGGGCCTTGGAAGATGGGCTCGTTTACCCTTGGAGCAACAACTTCCTTTACATGTTCCCTCCTCTGCCACTGTTGCTGAGGCTCATGAGGGTTCACACTAAATGCATCCTGATCGCCCCGTGGTGGCTGAGACAACCCTGGTTCGCCAGCCTCCTTTCGCTGACCAGGGACCGCCATCCCCTTCCACAGGTGCCAGATCTGCTCCTAGCAGGGAACGGCACTCTTCTGTTCCACGAGGTCCACAAGCTCAGACTAACAGCCTACCTCGTGGAAATTTAACACTTTCGGATAGAGTTACATCGGACTCTACCCGACGTTCCTACACCGGGAAGTGGGCTCATTTCTTAACCTTCTTACAGCCCTCAGACGTACCTCTGGCTTCTGTACAGCTGGACCTAATTCTGGAAGTTTTTGCTTTCGCTAACAGAAAAAGGCCTCTCACACTCCTCAGTCAGAGTCTACTTGTCAGCTATTTCTGCCTACCATTCGGGTATCGAAGGTTTCTCTGTCTTCTCTCACCCGATCTCAAGGAGATTCCTGAAGGGTCTGCTCCACTTATATCCGCTGATTCGTTCATCGGTACCTTTGTGGGACTTGCCGCTGGTGCTGTGGCATCTGATGAAATGACCCTTTGAGCCAATGGCAACCTGTGAACTGAAACATGCCGCCTGGAAAACTGCCTTTCTCATCGCCATTACCTCAGCCAGGAGGGTGGGCGAACTCATGGCACTTCATCATGACCCACCCTTTCTTGTCTTCCTACCTGATGTCGTGAAACTGGTACCTGACTTCTCTTTCCTGCCTAAAGTGGTCTCCGAGTTCCATCTCAGCTCAGAGATCTTCTTGCCGAACTTCTTTCCTAGCCTGAAAGATGGCCAACAGTGTCTCCTCCATGCACTAGATGTTAAGAGGGCGCTGCTTTTCTACCTTGACAGGACACGTTCAAGTAGGAGGGACAATCACTTATTTGTCTCCTACTCCAGTCACTCCACAGGACAAAAGATCTCGACACAACGTCTCTCCAAATGGATTGTTGAGACTATTAAGCTGTGCTTTCATTGGCTAAATGCCCGTTGCCCTTGCCGTGCGAGTGCATTCCACAAGATCCATGGCTACGTCTACAGCCTTCTTGAAGGGTGCTTCCCTGTTTGTGATCTGTGGGGCTGCGATATGGTTTACTCTGAACACTTTCATCAAGCACTACACTGTTTCGTGAACGCCACAGAATGGACCTTGGTCATCTAGTCCTTTTGTCGGCAGAGCACTGAGTGTACGACAGCACCCACCTCCAGGTGAGCCACTGCTTTTCAATCTTTCATGGGTGTGATGCAAAGAGACCACGAAGAAGATAAACAGGTTGCTTACCTGTAACTGATGATCTTCAAGTGGTCATCTGTGCAGTCACACCAACCACCCTTCCTTCCCCACTGCTGTCGCTTCAGTACTTTTCTCCGATTATTGACATGACAGCAGTCAGAAGGAACTGGTGGGATGTCCGCGCCCCGTCTCTTTGGGGATGCGCAGTGGGGTTCCCTCGTGTGCCTGGGAGGGAGACACGAAAATAACGTTGTGAGCTTTGTATACCACCGATTCGGATCAGCGCAGGTGCATAATCCCATGGGTGTGACTGCACAGATGACCACTTGAAGATCATGAGTTAAAGGTAAGCAACCCTGTTTTTTCCTGCTCTCCCCTAGGTCATCTTTCTGGCTTCTCAGGCTTCTCCTCAGAGGCTTCTGAATTGGAGTCTAGAGCCAGCTTAGTGGGTATCATGACAAAGGAAGAGATACTACCCTCCCTTCTCTCCAGGTTGTCTACTTTAGAAGGGTCGGAACAGACTTCTTATGTACTCTAGCTATAACATTTCACTATCCTATGGCCTTTTGTGTCTTTTTAGATTGACACTTATGAGAAGCTCTATGAAGATGTGTCCAAGTTTGAAAACACCAAAGTGTTTAATGGTTGGCTGCAAAGCGACTGTCGTCCCTTTAAGCAAGCATTGCTGAACATCATCAAGCGCTGGAGCCTAATGTTCAAGCAGCACCTCATCAACCATGTCACTAACAGGTAGAATGGGAATTTATTTTGGAAACTTCCAATCATTCCAGCACTTAGCAGAGTTCCTCATGTTGGCAGAGTTCAGGAAATAATCCAATCCACGCTTTGGAGTTTGCTTTCAATGAATTTACTGCAACAGTATTTTGCAAAAAGACAATAACTGACTGTAGGCCACTAATACAACAGAGAGGCCTTCAGAGCACAACCACTAATGCATACTAATACACAGCAGAGAGAGAGAAAAAAACAAGAGGTAGGTTGAACAGTAAGAGAAAACATTCAATAAACCCCAAATGCTAGAGAATGCTCCACACCTCCCCCTAGGGTACAAGTGGATTAAGCTACTCTTTCAGCCATATTTACAGTAACTAGACTCTTAGCAAGCTGACGCTTCTCCAACCTCTCATGCATATGGAAATCAGCCAGAAGCCCCCAGCAGCTAATCTACAAAACGTCTCCAGCTGAAGTTAAAGAGCCCTGGTTTATAGCTTGCATGGCAATATCAGGCCCCACATCTGAAAAGCTGCACTCCATAGGGATCCCAGAGGGGGCAGATAACACACAAGATTTATCTTTTCAAGCTTATATACAAATTTTGATCAGACATTCTATTTAATCTGTTTAATTTTTTATTGTACAATTACAATTTTTTGAGCTGATACTGTAGTGTTAGGCTTGGACATGGACAGCTGAGCTCAAATCATGAAGTTCACTGGTTAGCTCTAGTCAAGTCAGGGTCTTACCTACTACACACATGACATATTATAAGCCACTCAGAATCCTTGGGCTAACGTGATAAAGAAATAACAGCATGCATAGGCTCTTTCCACATGACTGGGGATCGGATTACACAGAAAAAGAACCAATGTGTTTGTAATTTACTATGCAATGTTAAGAAGAATTATATCCTTCTAAGACCATTTAGTTCAAAGGTCTTCTGCAGCTGTGACTCTGCTGAGGACTGCTGTTCAGGCCTCCAAATACATGCATTGCATTCTCAGGCAGGGCCAGCAATTGTGATTCTGGTCACCTCCAACACTGTTTTGTTGTGTGGATAGTGCTTTCGTATCAAAGATCGGTCAGTCATTGGGTGGGGTATCAAGTAACAGAATGCTTTTAGTGTCTTGCTATTAAAGTAGGCCCAATTACACCTACTCTGCCTATGCTTTCCTTTGCAGCCTTAAGGACCTTGCCACCTTCATGAAAGAAGTGAATGCAGGCTTGTCTAAACCTGTGAAAGAAGGTGACTATGATGGGCTGGTAGACATAATGGGACACTTGATGAGGGTCAAGGACAGACAAATAGCTACTGACAATATGTTTGAACCTCTAAAGCAAACCATTGAGTTGTTAAAAGTTTATGGAGAAGAAATGCCTGAAGAGATCCATATGCAGTTGCATGTAAGTTATTAATTGCTTTTCAACATTTAGAAATTGATGGTTTATAAAAAATGTTATAATATGTTCACAATGGTATAGAAAATGGAGAAACCAGGGCAAAATAAGAGGTCATTTAACGAAGGTTAGCATCTGGGGTATAATGTATCTGAACACACAATCTGCAGAGTTATTGCCCTTTGGCTCTACTACTCTATCATCCATCCATCCATCCATCCATCCATCCATCCATCCATCCATCCATCCATCTCTCTCTCTCTCTCCCTCTCTCTTTCTCATCTGTCTATCATCTATCTATCTTTACTGATTTATCATCTATCTATCATCTTGAAAAAGTCTGTACAGGTTACAGAGATGGGTACAGTGTTATCCCGTAGCAACAACATGCTACATTTATTATATATGCACATTTCTCCATTATTAACAACATGAGGTGAATGAAGTTCAGAAAGGTACAGCAATCCCTAAACAAATCGATGCATTCTGCCATTTTGCTACCTGGCTCTTTGATCTCCTTCCTTATTGTTCTGAAGCTGCCTGTAAGCAACATTTTCCTCTGACAATTCTCTGATGCTTGTTTAGGAGTTGCCAGAACAGTGGAACAATACCAAGAAGTTATCATTCCAGGTGAAACAGAATGTGGCTCCTCTACAGGCAAATGAAGTTACAATCATCCGAAAGAAATGCCAACAGTTTGAGGTATCACCATTAAGAATATACTCAACTGGCATGCTGTGCTCTTCAAGCTGAAAATGAGATGTTAATATGGGTCAAACATTTATGATGATGCCTAAACTGGAATCTCGTTTCAAATTGGGCTTCTGACCACAACAGTTATAATTTAGCATTAGTCACTATTGGAAAAGGCATCTAAGGGCATGTTCTGTTGTGATTTAGGGTCCCTTGAGTTGTCTATAAGCGTCCCTCTCTATGTAAGTGTTCCATGCAGACAGGCACTTGATAGAACAAATAATCAGAGATGTCTATGCAAGGCAGACAGAGATAAAACAAAGATAATCTTTTTTTGGTACAAATGTATATCCACACCCGGGAGAACTGGGTTTGATTCCCCACTCCTCCACATACAGCTGCTGGTGTGACCTTGGGTCAGTCATAAGTTCTTTCAGAGCTGTTCTCTGAAGGGCAGTTCTCAAAAAAGCTCTCTCAGCCCCACCTACCTCACAGGGTGTCTGTAGTGGGGAGGGGAAGGGAAAAGGATTGTAAGCCACTCTGAGACTCCTTCAGTAGTGAAGGGCAGGGTATAAATCCAATCTCCTCCTCCTCCTCCTCCTCCTCCTCCTCCTCTTCTTCTTCTAATGTAAAAATTATTTAGTCATCATGTCATCATGGGATGTGTATGTCTCTTGCACAAAACTATGCTAACTAATCACTTTTCTCTGAGTTGTTTCTTGCATTTCAATATGACTGAAATCTAACTTGTATGATTTTGTGACATAATAGAGTTCATGCTCTTAACCACTACACTAAACTGGCCATACATTAATGTGCAGTCAAAAAGTGCAAGAAACATCTTTCCTAGCAGCCCTAATTAATCCTAACAGTAACAAGTTCTAACTGGAGTTATTTTCTCAACAAACATCTTAGTACAGTGATACCCAGTGATCACCATGGTGCCTTTCAGTGGGTTTCCTGGTACCCATTTGGTTCTTTCCCAAAGCATCTCTCCTCCAAAATGAAAAGCTTGTCCCGGCTCTCCTCCATCTCACTGAAGCAGGAGGTCCTTCAGAAGAACCCAAGACATATACCGTTGTGTCTACAGGGAGTGCCCATTCATAGAGTCATAGAATCACAGAGCTGGAAGGGGCCATACAGGCCATCTAGTCCAACCCCCTGCTCAATGCAGGATCAGCCTAGAGCATCCCTGACAAGTGTTTGTCCGGCCTCTTCTTAAAGACTGCCAGTGAGAGGGAGCTCACCACCTCCCTAGGTAGCTGATTCCACTGTTGAACAACTCTTACTGTAAAAATGTTTTCCTAATATCCAGCCGGTACCTTTCTGCCCTTAATTTGAACCCATTATTGCGAGTCCTATCCTCTGCTGCCAACAGGAACAGCTCCCTGCCCTCCTCTGTGACAGCCCTTCAAATACTTAAAGAGAGCAATCATGTCCCCCCTCAACCTCCTCTTCTCCAGACTGAATATCGCCAAGTCCCTCAGCCTTTCCTCATAGGGCTTGCTCTCCAGGTCCCTGATCATCCTTTTTGCTCTCCTCTGCACCCGCTCCATTCTGTCCACATCCTTTTTGAAGTGAGGCTTCCAGAACTGCACACAATATTCCAGATGCAGCCTGACCAATGCAGTGTACAGCAGGACTATGACATCTTGTGATTTGGATGTTAGCAGGGCCAGGAGCCTGGGGGCAGGAGCTGGCCCACCACCCCCAGGCAAATGACAAGCCTATCATGGCATCTTCAAGACCAAAGCTTGCCCTCCATTTCCCATTCTGCTGCTGCTACAGAAGACCTAGAGAAAAATCTCACTTTCTACTTATACTGCTGTCAATGAAAGACTGAAGTTCAACCCTGGATCACTGTCTGCTTTTATCCAATTTTATAGGAAACTATACACATTTCTCAGATGGTGTTCTTTATGTAAGGTTCATGGACTTAAAGGGGGCCTTTGATTCTGTCCCCCAGACTAGATTGTGGGGGAAGCTGCAAGCTACCTCAATTGATAAAAGGTCACTATGGTTAATGTACTGTTTGCATACTGACGTTACTGCTCAGGTTCGTTGTGAACGGGGAGGTGAGTTGTCTGACTCATTTGATCTTGAACTTGGTGTTGGATGAGGTTGCCTATTGGCTCCATTTCTATTTAATTTATACTTGAACAATTTGTCAAGTCATTTTGATCAATGCTGCCATCCTCCTTGTCTAGAACTAAACAAAGGTTAGTGAAAAGGAGGGCCAATATTAAAACCTTTCCATAAAAAGGTACATGTATTTATTGATAATAATAAATTTTAAAACATATATAGGGGCCCAATTACAACCAATGTATATAAAACATAACAATATCAAGGGCTTAAAAAGTTGACCTTACGCGTTTCGGCCAAATAGACCTTCCTCAGAGGTCATACATATGTGGCAAGATGGTTAATAATTATATTCACATAAACACAATCAGAAATATATACAAAGTATAGATTCAATAAGGACCATAAAGTAAATTGTTCAGAAGTAAAATCACCAGGCACACAAGGTAAATATGCACATAAGACCTTTAAAGTGTAATCACTAGCCTAGTGATTATAAAATAAACTTATGGTCCAAAAATTTCCTTCTTTGATTGTGTTCCCACAGTATTCACAAGTAAAAAGCACTGTGGGAACACAATCAAAGAGGGAAATTTTTGGACCATAAGTTTATTTTATATACATTGGTTGTAATTGGGCCCCTATATATGTTTTAAAATTTGTTATTATCAATAAATACATGTACCTTTTTTATGGAAAGGTTTTAACATTGGCCCTCCTTTTCACTAACCTTTGTTTGGTTCTGGAGTTTATTGTTAGGTTCAGTTTTTTCCCTTCTTGTTTTTTCTATCCTCTTTGTCTAGCCCATAATAATATTCCTATTCTGCTGTATGCAGATGACACTATCTTGTTATCTTGCATTCATATTGGTTTACAAAGATTGTTAAAGCTTTTTACTGTTGCAAAGAATTTTTGACAGTAAACTTTCAGAAGTCCAAGGTAGTGGTTTTTACTAAAAAAGAAAAAAAAGAAAAAGAAAAATAGAAACCCCAAAACATATTACTGGCCCATGAAGGGGGTGGATTAGAACAAGTTAAAGAATTTCCTTATCTTGGAATTTTATTTGCTTCTAATCTAAACTGGGCTCCAAAAAGCTGTGAGAAACAAAATCAAACCCTGTATTGGGGGCATTTTGAGTTTCTTTTGAACAAGGGGGAACGAGATATGTAGCGGGGGCTATTTAATTTTTTAATCTAAAAGTAATCCCTATTATTTTATTTGGGGATTAAGGCAGTCACCAAGTCTATTGATTTTCCACTTCTTATGCACTGGTGTTTTCCCTCGCTTTCACCATGCATGTCGGTTGGGTTTTCTTTGTTGTTCTGCATTCCCATTGCTATCACTGTGCCTGTGCATCAGGGATTTCTTTTCCATTCTGCATTGTTTTCCCTCCCTTCAACGCTCAATTCTCTTTCTGTTTGTTGTTCGCCTGGGTTTTCTGAGAGTGCTTTTGGGGTGGTTTTATCCCTTGCTTAGTTTCCAAGCCAAAGTAAACTCAAAAGCATACAGATTCCCTCAGATTCCCCCCCCCCTTTCCAGCCCTTTGGAGGCCACTTCTGTCAGGTTCCACAGCAAGTAACTCTCCACACACATTTCCTAAGAAGCGTTATGCTTTATTAGAGTACAGAACTGGTACCATATCCACAGGATTATTGTTAGGAATGACTATGGGGCGGAAACATCCCTACATATAGCAGGACGAGGCAAATGGCTAAGCAAATGAACTCCGAGCGCGAGCGCGGGAATTCTCCCAGCGGGAGATTACATAATGAGCAGAAGACTCGCAGGGTCTCATGAGAGCAGGAAGATTCACACCCGAGGTGGAATGCAAGCCCTCCCTTCCTCACAAGGCCAGACAGATAGCGCCATCTGGCAGAGCTGGCTCCCACGGTCTCCCAAGCAATGTTTACTGCAAGTGGCTGAGCTGCGAGCAAGCGGGAACAGGGAGGGAAACAAGCAAAACATGGCCGCTAGCTGACATCCTGCCCCCTCAAAAACACATCAACCTCCTCCCACAGCAGACAGGTGACCTCCCAGTTTCCCTGGGAAATGAGCGTGGAATTTCTGCAGGAGTTTAGGGGCCCGCACATCTTTCCCTGCCACCCACTCCCAATGCACCCATTACACCAGGTAGAATAATTGTCCACGTTTTACTTTAGAGTCCAGAATGGCAGATATTTCATGGTGTTCCTCCCCCTTCACCAAGATGGGGGGTGGCACAGTCGGTTCCAGGCGCCATGGATTAGATGATGGACAAGGCTTCAATAGGCTGAAATGGAAAATTGGATGGACATTCCATAAGGCAAGTCCAATTTGACAGTGACCTCATTAATCAACCTTACAACTTTAAATGGCCCAATGTATTTCCACACCAATTTTCAGCAAGACTGAGAAAGATGCAGATTTTAGTAGACACATACACAGAGTCCCCAGGCTGCAGAACCCAACCCTCCACCCTTTTCCTGTCAGCCTGATGTTTGTAGGCGGCTTTGGCCATGTCTAAAGCTTCACAGATCTTAGGCCACGCCGCCCTCAAAGTAGAACTCCATTCAGATGCCTCCCCCCCCCGCCCCTGGAGTTGAAGTCAGGAAGGGGATCGGGGGACTGTCATAACCAAAAGCAGCTTTGAATAGTGACATCCCTGTGGAAGCGTGGAAGGCGTTGTTATAGCAGAATTCAGCAAGAGTCAGTAGGTCCACCCAATCATCCTGTTGGAAGTTTGTAAAGCATCTCAAATATTGTTCAAGGGTTTGATTAACCCATTCTGATTGGCCGTCAGCCTCTGGATGATAAGCACCGCTCAGGCTCCGTTCTATGCCCATAATCTCCATGAGCTCACCCCAAAACCTTGAGACGAATTGAGGACCCCTGTACGTTATTATTTGGGTAAGTAGCGTGTGGAGCCTGACCACGTGGTTGAGGAA